GATATAAAGAGGTCACTGATTGAGCTAGAAGAATAAAACAGATTAGAATCGTCTGCAAATATTATGCAATCTAACTTAGATGAGACTTTAGGGAGGTCGTTGACATAAATTAAAAATAGAAGAGGAGCTAGAATAGATCCTTGAGGAATCCCACATTTGATTTTTAGTTGTTTCGAGTTGTTATAGTGATCTATGGTAACACATTGTTGTCTGTTGTCTAGGTAGTTGGCGAACCATTTTATAGTTTGATTTTTTATGCCATATTTTTCCATTTTTCTTAGTAGTATTATGTGGTCTACTGTGTCAAATGCCTTTGTAAGATCAATAAAGACTACTAATATAATTTCCTATCATTAAAGGAAGTTATAAAGTTATTAAATTAAATATATAATGTTATTAATGAGATCTAGGATAGCACGTTCTGTAAAATGTTGCGTTTGAAACCCGTATTGATTTTCACTTAAGATTTTGTGTTCTGTTAAATATTTACACAGTCTGTTGTAAATTATTCTTTTAAGAAGTTTAGAAAATATAGGAAGAATTGAGATTAGTCTATAATTGCTAATTGCAGATGTATCTCCACCTTTAAATATAGGTACAATTTTTGCTAGTTTTAATTTGTCTGGGACGATTCCGTTTTTGATTGAAGAGCTGAAGATATTAAAAATAGGCTTTCTTATTACAGAAAAAATATAAAGCACAACATTGCCAGAAATGTCATCAATACCTGGGGTCTTATTCATTTTAATTGATTTGATTTCTGTTTCTAGTTCATCAAAAGTTAAATTACTATCTGGCAATGAGCTTTCAAAATTGCTAAAATAATTTTGAAACAACGTTTCTGAGCCTTTTATTTTTGATGCCAGGTTTAGACCAGTGTTTACAAAAGAATGATTAAATATTTCTGACATATCTTTTTTGTTTTTGTATTCAATATCGTTTTCCGTTATTCTGGAGGGTTAAAATGTTAATCAAACATAAGAAAACTTAGAAGCAACATTCATACAAAAAAGTTTTTTTATAGTTATGTTTAACTTGTGTATAGGAAACTCATAATAATATTATAATCAAAGATAATCAAGAAAATTATAAATTGCATACATTTTTTTTTTAAATGCATTTAATTAGCTTAAATTAGTTTTTGAAAGGAAGAAGAAAGTCGGGTAGCCACGGAGGGCGGGATACTCCGAACACTTGATGTACAGCTTAAACTAAAAAAGCTATGTGATTTAAAATACTATAAAAACAATATTTGAGTTAAAAACGGCATATATATATATAGCGATTGGCTGGAGTGCAAGATATTGTTTCTGACCGCCAGAGTATCGATGCGTCATCATATTTGATTCGCATAAAAGTTTACTTTGGGTTTGTGTAAACATATAACTTTTTATTGAATAAAAATACAATTTTATTTACAATATTAAAAAAAAAAATTTTTGCTACTTAAATTCACTGGTTTTAAAACTAGAACTTGTGAATGAGGAATGATCTGGTGGTATTGGGCATGTATGTTTGAAAGGTGGTTCTGGACAAATTAATCAATTTAAATTTTAAAAATGAGCAACTTATTTATATAAATAATGCAACATTTAATATGATTCACAAACTCATCAGAGTAGTTCAATTTATTCTAGTAAAAAAACCTAAGATTCGGAAAAAGTTTTATCATGGTGTTTATTTTCATTAGTAAAAAGCTAATATTTTTATTTCTAAATGAATACATTTTCATTCCCATTCTTACATATCAGCAGTTTTTAAAGGAAATTCTTTTTTTAAAATAATTTGAGAAAATTTTATGCTAACTATTTATATACTATATTTATTTAACACGGGAAAAAAAAGGTAAAACTTTGGTAAACTATTTGTACGGGGCTACTCTCCGATTTTGAAACATGTCTTTTTGATAACATTTTTTTCAATGTTTTGTTTATTAATAAGGTACACAATATTTATTTATTTGTTTCTTATTCGATAAATAAATGTTTATGCTTTTAAAAAAATCTTTTGACACTATGTTTTCTGATAGTATTTGCGTGCAATCTATTTTTTCCTAATATATTTAGTGCTATCCAATTTTTCCTTACTCTTGATGTCACATTTGTGAGGAAAGCTGGAACTGTTACATATTATATGAAGGATTTTCTTTGTTTAAAGTAAAGCATGATGGCTTTTCGTATGTTTATTCAAATTAAATTTACTCATTGTGATAACAGTTATTTTTTCTTTACATCTATTTTATTAAATCATACAAAGTTTAAAGATTAACATCCTATATGTTTAAAGAATTTAAAAATTAAATCTCAATATCTCAATATTTGCTCAAGTTATTTAATTTGTTGTACCTGCATGTTTTTGGCTTTTTTTTGCTGATTTGGCAGACTTTTATCATAAAAACAATAATTTATTTTTTATATTCTTAACAGTATCAAAAATAGTTTCTCGTTTAAAGATGTAAATAATATTTAGAAAAATTAAAATTGTAGGGTAGTATCACCTTAAAACATTTATATAACTTTTATTCAAAATGAAAAGTAGAGTGCGACGATTATTTAATAAACGAGTTTTTTTAAGATTATTCGTTAAACGTTTAACGGCTGTTTCAAACAAACAAACAACCGTTTATAAACGGTTACGAATATTTTTTCCTCTTCATTTTATTTGATAGGGTTAACTCTGGCTAACCCTGAACGAATAATATTATTCAACATATAAATTTTTATCAAATATTCGTTAAACAAATGTATTCATTTCCGCAAATTCGTAGTGCGAATAAAATAATCGTTTAGCAAACAAGAGTTAGCGAATATGCTTGTTAAAAAAACAAGACGTTAAGTTTATTTAGTATATTGGTCACTAGCTTATTTATTTCAACATTATTTTTCAGATTTAGTTATGCCACATCACCGAAACCGGTGTTTAATAAAGTTTTTTTTATATACTTTTGAATTTTTTGTTATTCTGCGATATATCTACTTATTACAGACCACTTGATAGTTATATTATCAACTTTTCATAATACTAGAAAAAAACATTTATTGAAAACAACATGGAAAATTATTATGTATAAAAAAGTATAGTTTTTCTATATATTTTCTTATTTATCATTGCTATCTTCTTCATCCATCAGCCAGGTAGTATTTTTTACCTCTTACAAGTTTTCTTTCATAAAAACCATCATTTCAATATTGTCATTGCTAAGATTATTTTTTCTATGAGAGTACTTTTCCAGCAGTTGAAAATACTTATTCCAAGGTAGCTGAAGAATATGGGGCGCACAAGAGTTTCCTTGCAGGTCTACTGAGATGAAGAAATCTTGTACGGTTGGTCTTCAAATACTCGATGATATCAGCGTTGTCGTTTGCAACTCCTTCAGCAACACAACGTGCTATGTCGCATTTGACATAAAATAACGAACATTTTCTCTCAGCGTTTTTATTTTTATTTTGCCAATATAGCTTCTTTGCAGTACCAGTTGAAGCTTCTTTATCGTATAAATTATCATTTTCAGATGGTTCGTTAGAGTTTTCAATGGATGTAGGACTGTTGCCCACATTTCCTCGACGCATATCAATTAAGGCTTGAGTAGCGGTATCCTTAATATTTTCGTATCTTTTCTCATCAAGTTCAGAAATGAGTGATCTAATTTGTCTAAGATCAAGAAATGTGGCATTTATTACTCAGATACTTTATGACCACAACTAAGAAAATATTGTTGAAGTTTTGCTATCAGAGCTTGAGTTATATTTGTCAAATAAGTTAGAAAAGTTTCCATTTTTATCTTAATTTTTCATAACATTATAGATTTTCATAATCACGATGGCAGATTACAATATGTAAAAAATTTTCACTTCTGTTATGTTTCTGGGTTAAAAAAGGTGTTTTCCTAAACCGTTCCCGACGGGCATTTGTTGAATTAAAATTGATTTAGATCACGTTCAGATAGCATTTACGTCGTTCTAAACGTTTAGGAATCTATTCTAAACTAGTTCTGAATATTTAACTTGATTTGAAAAGCTAAATCGCGCAGTTTCCGTACTGAACTAACATAATTAAATTAGTTTCGCATAAATGTGACAGACATTTTGTTTATGATAAATAATATATTGATCGAATAGCAATGTTACAATATTTATGCTTTTAGTGCAGCTAATGCCAATCAAAAATCGTTAAATTCAAATATTTATATATTAAACCTACACTCAGTTTGAGTGTAGGTTTTTAGTGTAAATTGAAAAACATTTTTAAAATTTAATTACTATTAAAACTTTGATATGATAACCACTAAAGAGAAAAAACTTTACTTACATCTGATATGATAGATTATTATATCATATCATTTATTTTCTGATTAGTAGAAAAGTTAACATGGTTAGAACAATAATATATATAGCTACATTACATAATTTTCTAAAATCACAGGAATATATTTTTTATTGTTAATTTAGCGTTGCGTGTTTAATTTTATTTAATATTTATGTATAATCCAGTCAGTTGCAACAACAGTTAAAGCAGCAGAAAACAGCTAAGTGCAAGTGATAAATTGATTTTTTATGACGTTTTTACTCGTTTAAAGTTTAGATTTTCTTAAAATAATATTTAAAATAGTGACTATTTTTGTAAATATCGTTCTGTAAATAAAAACTGCAACGAGTTTTAAAACCAATAGATATTTTTTTAGTAACCACAAGATATATTGCTCTGTACTTTTAGATATGATTTCAATAGTTAAACATCTGTCAGACATTTATCTTTTAAATGATAATCTAATTGCTCAGGCTTATGAAAAGCTATTTATAAAAATTCAACGCTAAAAAAATAATGTAAGATTAAAGGTAGTACCTGTATTATTTAAAAGGTAAGTTGATGATTAGTTCAAGTCATTAAAATGTAAATTAGTTAAAAGAAAGTTGTTCAGTTCCTTTCTATATCTTAAAGCTATTGAAATGTTTATTGTATTATTATTATTCATTTACTTTATTATGTTATGAAAGACCTACCAATTTTTGACGACATGTTTCAACTTATTTTACTATTTTCCCCATTATCAACAAACCCACTAGGGCAACTTTCAAATCTATTACTGCTATTGATAATATATTAACAAATTCAATACAAGATTCTTCTCTAAAATCAGAAATAATAAAAACAGATATTTCAGATCACTTTCCAATATACTTCTCTTTGTTACAAAATTCCACAAAAATTATCAATTCAAAAATCTTATATAATTATAAAAGAATTATCGATAAAGCGTCTACTCAAAAATTTATAGAATTGCTATCGGCAACAAATTGGCTAAAGGTCTACCATTAATGTAATCTAGGTAACACAAACTCTGCGTAAATTAACTTTATTTATCCTACAGTATTATAAAAGTTTTTCAAATCAAGAAAAAGAAATAAAAGCAAAATATTTAAATTGTCCATTGATAACAAAAGAAATAAGAAAATCCTCAAAACAAAAGCAAAAACTCTACGTAAAATACTTAAAAAATAAAAGCGAAGCGAACCTATCCATTCACAAATAATACAAAAACTTATTTAAAAAAATAGTAAAAAACATAAAATTATACATTATTCTAATCTAATACAAAAATTTAATGGAGACTCAAAAAAGACATGGGATATTATGAAGGAAATAATTGGTAAATATAAATCTAATTTTAACAAAATGCCTTCTAGAGTAATAATTAATGAAAGGGAATCAAATAACAAGCGAGATACTTCAAATGAATTTAACAACAACTTTGCTAACATTGGTGCTGATCTTGCATCAAAAATTCAATGCACAAAAAATACATTTTAAAATTACTTAACAGGCTCAAACTGCTCTTTACATTTCAATGAAATAAATCAAGACGAACTTGAATTTGCTATAAAATCACATAAATCAAGTCCCCAGGAACATCTATTGCAAAGTAGAGATAGATGTTTTTGAGGAGAAACGCAATCCAATTTTCCAAGTATTTAATTCATCAGTTAGAACAGGTATTGTACCTGATAGACTAAAAATATCTAAAATTATACCAATCTATAAATCCGGAAAAACCAATTCTTTAAACAATTACAAGCCAAACCCAATCCTTTTGGTATTCTTAAAACTTCTAGAACGAATAACCTATAATAAGTTAAATAAATATTTAAAAACGAACAAAATTATCAATAAAGATCAATTTGGTTTTCAATAGCTACACTTAACTGACCATGCAATTCTTACCCTATCGAATAGGATACGTAAATTATTTAAAAAAATTACATTAGGAATCTTTATTGATTTGTCAAAGGCATTTGAAATCGTCAACCACAAGATTTTATTAAAAAAATGAAAAACTATGGCGTAAAAAATCAAGCTTTAAATTGGTTTAAAAACTACCTAAATAACAGACAACAGTGTGTTATTATAGATAAAAAAGCAACTCATGTTTATTGAGAACAAAATGTGGTGTACCCCAAGGTTCCATTCTTGCTCCTCTCATCTTTCTTATTTATATGAAACGATCTTCTAAATGTCTCTAATACCTTTAAAACTATAATGTTTGCCGATAACACAAAATTATTTTACTCATCAAAGACAATCGAAGACCTTTTTGAAAAAACAAATGCTGAACTAAATAAAATTAAAATATGGTTCAAATCCAATAAACTGTCACTCAATATAGAAAAAATAAGTATATACTATTTCATTCTAATCAACAAATTAAAAAAATACCTGCTAACCTATCAACACTTAATATAGAAAATATAACCATCACAAGAGTTCTGAATATAAAGTTTTTAAGAGTTCTATTTGACGAAAAAATCTCCTGATAACCCCATATAAATTACATTAACATAAAAATATCAAAGAACATTGGTTTAATATACAAAAAAGACCATTTTTGTCGCATAAAAGTCTAAAACTTGTCTACTTGTCATTCATAGATTGCTATCTGATGTATGCCAATAAAGCATGGGGTAGCACCCACAAATCTAAATTAGAACCACTTTACCTACGTCAAAAATACGCTTCAAGACAAGTATACAACAAAAATAAATTTGTTCATGGTCAACACTTACTGGAACAAATGAGTGCACTAAATATATTTTAAATGAATATTTTTCAAAATATACTTTTCACTTTAAATATAAACTAAGTCTGGTTCCAGATTATTTTACAGCACACCTTTTAAAAACAATATTAAAAATACAATACAAAAGCAACAGGTAACTTTAAGATACCGTTTGAAACAACAAGACTCTCAAAATTTTTAATTACATACTGTGGTCCCTATTTATTTAACAAATTAGTTTCCAGAAACAAATCACTATTATACCTAAACAACGAACACTCTCTGAAAATATAGCTAAAATCTACAGTTTTCAAATTAAACAACTATAATGAGTTTTTTTTAAATATCAATAAAAAAAATTAGTAAAATGTAGCTTAACTTTTAATACAAATTGATAAAAAAAACAATAACATTAATAACAAGGTATATATGTACAACATACATATATACCACGTATGCAACTGATTTTTTTTGTGTAATACACGTCCAGAAAAAGGTACTCGATGACGAGACTGACTTAAGTCTTCTGCAAGCTTCCTATAACGACCATCAAGTAATTATTTTTATCAATTTTACACAAATTTCGTTTTTATTATATTTATACACAAAAATTAGTTTGAAATGTGGTAAATAAACTTATTGTAAAGCATCTAAACACTTCTCCGAAAAATCAGCTAATTTGTTTTTATTTATTGTATTAATTTTTTTTTAATGGAATTATAAAGAGATTTATTTATCGGACTATTTTTACGTACACGTTACTGCATTGTTGGAATTAGTGTTTATTTTAATGGTGTCTCGGAGTTGTATGCAACGAAATTTTTGTTTACTTCGTATATTTCGTACTTTATGTTTATGATATTTATGTTTGTATATCTTTACCGCCCATCTGTAAATGGTTACTTGTAAGTATTTTGTAGTAGTAAAATAAACATGTTAAAAAAAAAAAAAGCCTAAAATTTTACTAGCCGAAAAATATAGTATGAATCAGGGCTGTGGAGTCGGAGTCGGAGTCGGAGTCGCTAAAAAATATCGCGACTCCGACTCCTATAGTAAAATTTCTTGATATTGCACGTGCATGTACAAAACATTCAATTAACCTTATGTTCATACTAAACATCAAAGAATGTTTCATAAATTTGTCAAAAAAAAATTTCAACTTACCGGGCAATATTTTTTAAAGAATTCAAAGAATTTTTCAAAAATTTTGCTTTGGAGTCGGAGTTGTACTCAAAAAATTTCAACAACTGGAGTCGGAGTCGGAGTCGTTGCTCTTTTTTACGACTCCACACCCCTGGTATGTATATATCAACCCTCGGAATTAAAAAAACTAAAGTTAATAAAAAAAGGAAACAACTGTATAATATATATTAAAGTATACAAATACATAAATATTATATATGTATTTTAAAAACAATATATAAGTATTAGTAAGCTATACAACTAAACTTATTTAAAACACTTTTAACAAGTTTAGTTACAAGTTAATGTTATGGTGTAGATGTACCTTTAACCAAATAAGTGTTAACATTTCAGCAAAATGCCACATCGCCAGGCTCCTTGGTTATAAGAACCAAAAGCTTAATATGTTATTAAGTTGTTATTTTAATTTGTAATATTATAATTTACATTCGCAAAATGTTAAATAATTTACTTTTTAAATTTGTTTTTAATTGTTTTGGATGTTTTCTTATTTCTTTTACAAATTGTTTTTAAGATTGCAAAGATTTTTAATAACTGAAACTGAAAAAGGCATTGATAATCAGCAGATAACTAAAAAGCGCAAAGGTGCTGATTATACAACTCTTTATATAATCATTTTTTTCTATATAGACATTAACATATTAATAGGTTAATGTTTATATAGAAACTAATAACATATAAACTGAAACTTATAACATATATTAAACATATAAACTACTAAAAAATATGTAAAAGTATATATATATATATATATATATATATATATATATATATATATATATATATATATATATATATATATATATATATATATATATATATATATATATATATATATACATATATAGATATATACATATATATATATATATATATATATATATATATATATATATATATATATATATATATATATATATATATATATATATATATATATATATATATATATATATATATATATTATATATATATATATATATATATACTATATATATATATATATATATATATATATATATATATATATATATATATATATATATATATATATATATATATATATATATATATATATATATATATATATATATATATATATATATATATATATATATATATATATATATATATATATATATATATATATATATATATATATATATATATATATATATATATATATATATATATAAAAAGAACATAACTTTTTTTTTAATGTTAATTCACCGGGTTTTTTATTCCGTATAATTCCATGTCAAATGAACCAGAAATTTTTCAAAGCGTCACCCTATATCTCAGATTTTGCTAATAAAACCCTAACCCTAACCCTCCAAAACATATTTATGTGGTTATCGATGCAAACGGACGTGTGTAAGCCGCGTTTTGAAGGCAAAAAGTTCTTAATTATAATATTAAAAACAAAAAGTAAAATAAATGTCACCAATAAAATAAAATATAAAATAAATGTCACCAATTTAAAAGAATGAACAAACTTAATAAAGAAACAAAAAAAGTTGGATTAGAGAATGAAGATTCAGAAGTATCTGTAAAACTAGTACGCAAAATTTTTAAAAAAAATTTTGAAAAACATCAAAACGATATTCTTAACATAATTATTGGAAATCTTAAGGTAACAAGCGATAGAATTAACGGTTTAGCAAAAGAAATGACGTCAATTAAAAAAACGTGTAACAAACTACAAAAGAAAATCAAACGATAAATACAGAACTTGAAATAACTGAAGAAGCACTCAAACAATACGAAAAGCTACAAATCGATTTTGAAAATAGTCTCAATTTTACTTAGGATTCACACGAAAAAAAACAAATTAGATTTAAATCATTTAATGCAGATGAAGAAAAAAATAAACTAAGACAGCTTGAGGCTAGGTAACGCAGGAAAGATTTGCGACTTGAATGTCTTTTTTTATTTATTTATTTTATTTCGTCATTAAATTAATAATCTTTTACAATGTTTTTTTACAACATAAAAATTATAACATTAAAGTTTTGATTGGAGCTGGCAGAAGACATGATCTTATCATCCAGCCCCGTTATTATAACTAAA